TAGATAGGGTTTACTTGTAACGGTGTCGTACCTAAGGGCCTTGTGTAAATTAAGTTTGTCAATAGATTTCTTAAATTCCAAATTAACTTGAAAGTAGGATAATCGAATTATGATGATTAATTATAAATTAACTAAGTAGAAAAATAAAATAAACTAAAGAACAATGATTAAATAGAATGTAGAAATAGAGAGAGAGGACTAGGGGTATGACTTCACCACTAACGTTGCACCACTAGTTAATTACATCAATTTATTGGAGATATATCATATAACATGCATAGGGAATTAATCATGACTACAAGCACATATTAATTCAGTTAGAAAATAATATAATTTAAAGCTAAGCATGGACTATCTTCGATTGGTATAAACCATCTACCTAATTACTTTACTCTAAGGTGTAGTATGATCTATCTTTTCTAGGCATAATCCATCAAATCTTTAACATTATATTCAAAGAAATACCATTGTATAATCATCTCATTCACAACTATAAGAAGTGAATGAGTTGTGCTCAATCACAAAATTAAAATATCTAAGACAAAATTAAAAAAATATTTGCAATTGAATTAAAACTCTAAAACCGATTCTTATTGAAAAGTCAATTAAAAATCCTATAGATTACACAATCATGCATGATAAAAATTATTCTCCAATCAATAAATACAATCAAACCAGTGGTGCTAAGCTAGGGCTACATCACAACCCTAGCGAAGTGTTTAGCCAAGCATGACTAGAGTGGAATTCTTCATAGTTGAGAAAGACATCTTCACCGCCATGGATTAATCCCTTCTTGCTTCTAAATGCTTCTCTTCTGATCTCAGCCTCAAGCTCCTCTATGATGATGCTTCAATGTTGTAGAGGACTCCCTTTAAATAATAAAATATCAGCCCTAAAGTTCCATTTTTCATATTGAAGACATACATGGAAATTCTGCCAAACAAGGACTTTAAAATTCGTACAGACTTCCAGCCCAATTTTGATAAGGTAAACAATTGTTTTATGGAATCTTCGTGAAATACAAAATTGTTGCTCTTCGAATTTTTTTTTAACCAATGTGAGAATTTAATTGTTTTAACACTCAAGGAGAGAGATACAACCAGATTACCAAAATGGGTTCAAGTTAACAACTTTGACGAAAGTTTCCTTTTTGGAGAAGGATTTTTCCTTTTCCTCTTCTTTCCATTCTCATCAACTTGTGGTTTCTTTTGGACTATTTTTTAAGTATAATTAGACTTGGGTCTTCAACATTACTCGGTCCCACAAAATGTCATCTTTTAAAGCTCGGAATTACTGATCTTGACTAATTTTACAATTAAAGCCCTGAAATAAATAAAAACAATAAAACAATGTAAAATCACAAATAAACTACTATTAAGAGAATAAAACATGCAAGTTAAGGGGTTAAAATGTATAACATTCAATGCCTAACATTGTCTACTCTTTAGAGTGAAAGCCAAATTACTTAGAAGAATTTGCTCAAAATAATTTTATCCTGATGTTTTTTGATCAATATGGTTTAGACAGTTGGTCAATATGATTTGATTAAAATTTGATGAGGTTGGATTGCGCGCACACACACACACATGAACTTGCTAGGCAAATTTCTAAATCTTTATAAAAATTGCAGGTTGCATTTCATATTGTGATTGCATGTTTGAGAATTGATTTGATTGAATAATTTATGGTGTCTAAAAATTTCGTGTTTTTAAATTCTCTAGAAATTTTTTGATCTCGTTTATGCCTGAAATTCATGGAAATTGCAATTTTATAATTTTTGTTCAAATATCAAAAAATGAAAAAATTGAAAAATCCATAAAGATTTTCCTTTTAGTTTTTATTAGGAATTTTCATTTTTTATTGGATATTGATTTTCTTTCTTAATTGGTTATTTTCTTCCTTTTGTGCATGGTTTGTTAAATCTTACAAAAAGGGGGAGAAAAGGTACTTCATGGTTTAAGGGGGATATTTTATTGTGATTTTGAGCATACTTTTGGTACCATTAATATTTGTGTCATCTCTTGATGTCTATAGATATTATTGTTTCATATTAATGATTTATCATCATGTTTTGTGCTTATTACTATATCTTGTGCATGGATGATAACTTTGATATCTCTTCTTGTTAATTCTCTTTTATTATTTCTTTTTCTTCTTTGTTATACTTTATTCGTCAACTTGTAACAAAAATGGGGAGAAGTGTGCATATTTTTAAGGGAGTCATATACAGTAATATTCACATATTGATATATGCTATTTATTTTTTATTAAGCTTCACGTGTAGTTTGTTGATTTGATGTACAGATTACTGGGGGAGAAAACTATAAGTGATGAAGCTTCATATGGTTCAAGAAGAATTCTACTTTTTATTTATTTTTCGACAATCAATGTAATTTACTTTTTCTACTTAGGTAGATTACATGTTATCTTTGAGGTTTTGTCACGAAATTGCTAAAAGGGGGGATTGCGAGATATAAATTGTCATTGGCAAATTTCGTTGCCAAAACATGTCCGATCTAGTTGTAAAGTTTTGGTTCGATTTGTCAAGATTCAAGATCGGAAACAGAATTGAAGAAGCGGTCGTGTTCATACACCGATACACTTTATGATGATAAGAACAACGCATTAGGAAGGTAAGTGAGTGTGTGAGGACATATGCTTGGTTTCAAAATTAGGCTTTTTACTTGAACCTGTTCAGCCCAACTTGAACTGATTAAACTTTTGGAAGCTTTTTAGCAACGTTTAAGTCTGGCCAACTTGAACTGGTTCAACCCCACTTGAACTGGTTTAAGTGTTAAAGTTGGTTTGCAAGAATTTGCTACCGGCCAACTTGAACCGGTTCAAGAATTCCTAAACCCAATTCAAGGTCTACAAAGAATTTTGGTAACTCTGTGTCCTACTCTGTTTTGACTTCCTATTTTTCATAAACATTTACTATAATGATCATGCACGAAATTGACTTATTTTCTAAGTACAATTAGGTTTTCAAAAGTTTTTTAAAAAAAAAAAAAAAAAAAAAAAAAAAAAAAAAAAAAACAACCATATTTTATCACTTAGGGTTTTACGGCTTTTTGCATAGAAAATTCTGATTTAATTGACAACCACCTTTGTGAGATTTTCAGTATTTTTCATCGAGAGCATACACTTTATACACACGTGAGATTTAGGGCATTGTTCATAGTCTGATCGGAATATGAGTTTGAAGATATCATCAATATCGATAAGAAAATGCAGAATTCATTCATTTTACAACAAATTCATATTTGAAGAAGAAATGTGTTTAGATCACACTTTGAAGGGGTCAAGGCATTCGCGGAGTGTTGTTGATCTACTAGCAATTATTCTTCAAGATTTAAGGATTAAGTTTGAAGCCGAGAGATGTTGGATGAGGTAGTCGCAAAGCCAATGGCGTTCAACAAATTGGGTCTTGGAAAAGTGAAAGGGTATGAGCCTGAATCAAAGTTTGGTGTATTTTTTTCAAACATAGTGGATCGTTTATGCTCGGGACATCGCAAAATTTCTCGAGGTTTTTCAATTGGTTTCTCGCTAAATTCGGTTTCACTCTAACTTTACTTGCATTTATTTTTACTTTGTGGTTTGATTAATTTACTTTTATTTGGGTAAATTTAATTTAAACAAAAATCCAATAAAATTGCAAGTTGAACCTATTCACCTCCTCTAGGCTGCTTATCTATATTATATTTCACAACTATTCCGTATTATGCAACTCACAAACACTTCTCAAGAATGAACATAAAACTGTTTTTAGATAACTATAAAAGAGAGTTATGTGTAAACAAATATTTTTATAACTGAGTTTTCAGAAAATTGAACAAAGTAGAGTTTTTTTTTATATAGTTTTCTATTTTTAATTTTCTTAAAATAAAAAACTATTATAAGAGTTACAAACCAAGATGTCACTAGAATTTAATTATGTTAAATACATATTTGTAAGTATGCATATACATGTAAAAAATTATTTGACATTAAAAAATATGATAAACAGAGACAAAGAAGGGTAATGCCATTTCATGATTTTCGTAAAAATATTTCTTACATAAAACACATAAAAATTTTAACTATCTTGAAAAAACTGTCCTTTTATAAGTTAGTTTTCCCCCAAGTTATGTTTGTTATTTTATTTTATTTTATTTTATCAATCTTAGCACGCTTTTCTTTCCACGAAAGGGTGAGTTGATTACAATTTAAATATTCATACTGATATGTAATTTTCTCGGATATTCGTACATATGTGTGCGAGCCGTGTAAGTGTTAAAGCGATGCATTGAAATTTCCATATTATCCTTATCACACAACAATCTCACATAGATTGGAATCACTATAATATGTATTTTACAATTTATATATCTTTGAAATTGGATACAGTATTGATTTAAGTTAAAATTGCATCCATTAATACTTGAACTAGGTGTGATTCTTGCAAAATATAAAAAAGGGTGACTCATAAATTATGCATGAAGAATGTGTTAATTTTGAATGACAATTTTTAGCTAAACTGTTGATGCCATTTAGTGTTTGTTCTTAAACCTTAAAAAATAATATATTTACTATTTGAGCAATAACATGAATAACTCATAAATAATTTAAGTAAAATGCATTTACATTAGGGTAGTATTGGTAGGTGAAATTATTATTATTTCTTATTCATGCTATCTAAAATAAAAAATAATATTTTTCACAATATGTATATTTTTTTCTAAAGTTATATTTTTTCACAATTTTATTAATTTATTTTTAATTAACAAAAAAATTTAATTTTTCTTTCTTTCACTCCACCTTATTTCATTTTCACTCCTAAATTTCGATTTAACTAAAATCCCACGAATGATAAAAAAACAAAAAAAAAATGTTTGACTGTGATGACGGGCCAAAAGTCATCTGTACCTTTGATGATGAAAACAACGGCCATAAAGTTGAATTAGTTCTCCTGCACAATATCAAACGGTTGACATAATCCAGTGAAAAAAAAAAAAAAAAAAAAAAACTATCGAAATACAGGGTTTAACCGTTTAGATTTTATATATTTCAATCATCACGACCCACTTCATCAGATAAATTTGATTCTTCCATTACGCCCCAAAAGAGATGGGAAAAGGTCCAGGTCTCTACACAGATATCGGCAAGAAGGCCAGAGGTGAGCGATGATTTACTTTAATTATTATCATCTGCTTAGTGTTATATATGCGCATTTGGTTGGGTTATTGATTTTGTTCAAATTAACCTATTCTTGTTGTTTCAGATCTTCTGTACAAGGATTACCAGACTGACCATAAGTTCACCATCACTACTTACACTTCCACTGGAGTGGTGAGTCTCTCCATATACCTAATATTTTCAAATGCAAATGACAAATTTTGGGTAAAACTAGTGTATCTGCTCCTATCGGTCATTCAGTTCAGTTTGGTCAGTGAGAAAACTGTAGAATATAAGTAAATTGTAGATTGATTTACTAAATAAATGAAAAAACGCAACACAAATAACCCAAATTGTATTAATCGCAGTTGACCTAACTGAACTGAATTGTACAATTGAATTCTGTTTTTTACATGGTGTCTCTGCAATTAGACTTATGCTATGTTCAGTTTCTCCAATTCCAATTCCAAGGCACCAATTCCATGCAACATGGCAATGTTTTTGCTTTTTTTTTTTTTTAATTGAGGAATGGTTTATTGATAAAAGCTATTTCTTTTCTACTTCTATTTCTGTGTCTAATGTACATTAGAATCCAAGTGCAGTGCATTTATTTCCTTATAATATCGTGAATTTTCATATCGTTGTCTGGTTGTTAAAAGTAATAGGAAGGAAAATTAAAGGAATCATGGGATCTTATCTGGAATCATTCATATTATGCTCATATATTATTGTATTGTATCACAATTTGTTAACGTGCGGCTAGCTATGGAGGGTCATTCTAAATGAAGTTAATTTGTGGTTATGGTTTATTAATTGTCTCATTATTCCAATATGTTCATTATGTATTTGTGACGCATGTTTGGTAGTTTTTTTAGAACCATTATACCAAATGAGACCACTGCCCGGTATTGTCCCTGTTAATTGAGGGCGCTGGGAGGGATGACTGAAAAAAAAAATTTGCCTTAATGTTATTTGCACAATATGGCTTCCACGTACTCGAACCACATCTTCATGCATGGAAACAACCCAAGCTTGTACCAAATTATTTGCGCAATGTGGCTTCCGCGTACTCGAATCACAGCCCCATGCATACCAGCAGCCCGAGCTTGTACCAATGGACCAAGAAATAGCCCATTTTGGAACAATTATACTATGATTATGGCTTTAAAATTCTGATATTTTCCAATATTTCACTCTTATCAATTCTAAAGAGTTAATGCTTGTAATTTTAGAGGAAAATACGGTTTTCATGTACTACTGATTTTTAATTGGAATTTGGTTATTGCCATCCATGATGTGCAATTCACATATAGGGCTTACCTGTTATTTATTAGTGAGTGTGTTACATAGTTCGTGTCTTGCCATGTTAATGTTGTCTATGCATCTTTAGACTCTTTAGAATTTTTTATATAATTTATGGTTCTTCTGGTATAGTTTTATTAACCAGCTCAAAGCCTAATGGGAAACCACGAATGCTGCTCCTAAATTTCTGTTGTTCGACTCTGTAATGTTCTGAAATTTATGTCTTTTCAAATCTCAGGCCATAACTTCATCAGGAACTAAGAAAGGTGAGCTACTTTTGGCTGATGTGAACACTCAGCTGAAGAACAAAAATATCACAACTGACATAAAAGTGGATACAAAATCTAATGTAAGTGATGGAACTTCATTAGACGGCTTTATTTTTTATTTCATTTTGAAATTTAAGATGGATTCTTAATGATCTTCACTCACTTGGACTATCTCGTCGTGCATTAAATATTGGTGCATAATTAGTCACTGGCAACCATTTGTTTTCCCTGTTTTCTTAGTGTTAAGAATTGCAACTTGTTAGAGGCAGTTGTTTAAAAGATACCACGTATATGTTATATTTGTTCAGTGCTTTCTGTGTAAATTCATCTGTTTAGTGTGTTCTACAATCTAAATAAATTTAGATAATTGGTGTATGTGGCATTTAACAATATACTATTTTTATATTATATTATATTTAATAAGTAGATACAAGTATGCAGGCCACAATTCGAACAGTAGAGTGACACAGTGGGAAAAATCTGGACAATGTTGAATATTGTCTTTCTTATTTTTATTGAATGTAATTTATATAGTTTGTGGTCAATTGTTTTTTTACCCCATTTCCACGCAATTGTAACTCCTTGCCTTTGAATCTTATTGTTTTTTTCTTTTCATGCAATTATGCCCATTTTACTTAGGAAATGAGTTTTATCATATTTTGCGACAGAAATGACTAATTTATCATCTATTTTTCAATGTGTTGATGTTTCATTCTTTTTTCAGTGATTAGATAAATAAATTTCTTTACTTATTATAGTTTTTCCTTACAAAATTTATAGGAATGCCCATGTTTACTTTTGATTTCTTGTAGTAATGGATTGCCAAAAATGGCATTTGTTACAATGGATGTAAATTAACCTTTTCTATTCCTTCTATAATCTATATGTGGAGATGATCTAAGCATTCAATAGAAAAATCATTCCAAAAGATGCTTCAGTTACTTGGCTAGTTTACATCCATTGTAACAAAGGCCAAGTGGCCAAGCATACTTTCTATGTGCTGCCTGTCTTTATCTGTAATTTCTTGTACGCGTGCATTGGCAGAAAGCCTTGACTTTATTATGTTTGATTGTCTATTTAACTGGTTGGTTAAAGCATTTTATAAATGAACGATATGGTACTTAAATCATTTAGCTGATATGATAAGTTGATGTGAACATGTAGCTTCTTACTACCATCACTGTTGATGAACCTGCACCTGGAATCAAGACAATTTTCAGCTTTGTTGCTCCTGATCAGAAGTCCGGCAAGGTAATAAATTTTAGTTGTTTTTCATTGTCTTTAGATTGGTTTCATTGGCCTATCTTACGTACGCTCTTTAAAGATGTGTGAAGTAGTTGACATGAGTATGAGATATGTATCTGACACGTTGTGTCTGGTCAGACATGTACCTAACAAGGTTATCCAATAATTCGAGTTTACTGTATAATTGTAGATAAAAAGTCTCTTATGATATTATTTTGTTACATTAATACTTACTAAAAAAAATAAAAATTACTTCAAAACGAGTGAAGTGCCTGCCTATCTTGAATGCTTTTATGTTAAGTATTATTTTAGATTTTGAAAATAAAAAAGGAAACCGTTTATTTGGGTTTGGGATTTAATAAATCTGGTGCTTAGATACATCTACAACGTATGATACATTTACCCAAGTCCATGCAATATAGGTAAATCCTATGTTGTTAAAGCTTGTGTGAATACTTTGTCACTTGAAGTTATTCTATGTTTGACTTGTGGTGATTGTGGTGATAGGTGGAACTCCAGTACTTGCATGAGTATGCTGGAATCAGTACTAGCATTGGATTGACTGCGAGTCCCTTTGTCAATTTCTCTGGCGTGGCTGGGAGCAATGGTCTTGCTCTTGGTACTGATCTCTCATTTGACACTGCCACTAGAAACATCACCAAATGCAATGCGGCATTGAGTTTCTCTAAAGCTGACCTGATTGCTTCCTTGGCATTGTGAGTATCCTTCATTTGTAAAACGGTGAAAGAAAATTAAGGTTCATAATAAAATGTAATCATCACATACTTTGATATGCATTGCTAATTTTGGTATGATGATAATGAAAACCTTCAGCGCTGGATTAAAATTTATTATGATCCGAGGGGGGAGAAAATGTGAACTAAATTTGAAGTTATGACATAAGCCTTAAGAGTGGAATCTGATATTTTGGCTTTGTGAATGGCGTGTGTTTGCTTATATATGTTTGGATGGTGTGTTTCGCTTGATTGAAGAGTTTTATATTTGTTAATGGATACAGAAATGACAAAGGTGACACCCTTGCTGCTTCCTACTACCACACTGTCAGCCCATTGACCAATACAGCTGTTGGTGCGGAGCTGACTCATAGCTTCTCAAGCAATGAGAATTCTCTCACCATTGGAACGCAACATGCACTAGACCCACTAACAACAGTGAAGGGCCGGGTGAACAACTTCGGCAAGGCAAGTGCTCTCATCCAGCATGAGTGGCGTCCAAAATCCCTCTTCACCATCTCAGGAGAAGTGGACACCACGGCTATTGAAAAGAGTGCGAAGATTGGACTGGCGTTGGCTATCAAGCCATGAATTTAGGTAAAACCCATACAATAAGAGTGATAGACCAGCTGTGTTTTTGTACCTTGGAGAGCAACAAGGTGGATAGAATAAGTAAATATTTGTTTAGCTGTGAAAATTTGATGGGGGTATTGTCCTCTTGGTTGTTACGGATTGTAAAAATAATCTTTAGCTGGTTCTACAAACCAAATATCATTCTTTTCCTGGTCAAGTCCTCAATCAATGTATACCAGGGTTAATGTTAAATTACTTTTAGCAGAAACTCTCTTTGGGGAATGGTACAAATTGATCTTTGATGTTTCGCTCACATTAGTTTTATAATTATTTTGTTAGGCTTGAATAATATATATACTGACTTTAGAATTCCGTGTTGTCCATCGTGATCCAGAGTTCAATTACTAAGTTTGGTGCATTTGTTTTTCCCCTGTTTGGTACTATCCAATACAAGTTTGTATGCTACATCCAATGTCTAGTGTTTGGGGTGATGCTTGGTGGAAGGCATCATATTATTATTCAATTTATTTATTTATTTTTGACAATTTTGGGGGTATATATATATATATATATCTATCAATAGGGCGTGATATACCAAGACAGGTACTGCATTAATTACTCTCCTACCATGATGCAAATATGCGTCTTATCATTTTCCATATGTTCAATCAAACTTGTTTGAAGGTGTGATATTACCTACATCCTCCTGGAGATGGATAGAATCCTGTGGCGAGATGTGGTAGAGGTCCTTGTCAAGTTAAAAAAATTATAGCAGATGGAATGAATGAGATGGTGGTTATACATGGTTTAGTCCAATTATAGAAAAAAGTTATACTTAGTCCATTAGTAGATTAGATTAATCATCATTAACTTACATACCATGAAATACTCTGATCATTAACTTAAATACCATGAAATATTCTGGGATGAGTACACTTTCTGGGAGGAGATATCTAGGCCACCTCTTAGTCATTAAATTCAATAAGCTCTAATGAGGTTGAAGTATGAAAAAATATTAAATTTCCCGGAGTATGGTATCCGGGATCATCTCAGCCCTTGAATGTGGTAAGGCCCTCCATGATTAGGGATGGCAAAAATCCCCAACCCGGTGAGGAACCGCCCCGCCCCCGCCCCCGTCCCATTTAAAGCGAGTTTGGAGAACCGTTTACTTAAATGGGGTGGGGATGGGGGGTAAAAAAAAAAAACCGGCCGGTTGCGGGGCGGTTGTGGGTGACTCAGATCCCCGCCCCGCATCCGCCCTGAAACCGGCCCCGATTAATATATTAAATTACTAGTATACCCTTCCATGTTAATATATTTACAAAATTAACCTCACTATATATATATATATTGAAACTCTAGATTCACTTTCACTTTCAGACTTTACTTTCAAACGTTATATTTTCAAGCGTTATATTCTGAATCTCTAATAGTGAGGCGGCATTCGGCACTCGGCACTGATAGATCTGAGTCATCTAACCATTGATTCTTCACAAAATCCCAATATATGTGGTTTCTTAGTGGTCAAAGCTTATCCCAAAAGGTATTCCTCTAAGATTTCCCTCAGATTTGGTACTCTTTTTAGATCTTGGCTTCATGGATTGGTAATTTTTATACATAGAATTTCTGTGTCTCTCCTTTTTTGGTCTATATGTCTTCATCTAGTTGTAGCGTATATCTTTCTCTCTCTATATATAGAGATCCAATAGTAATGAACAAATTATGGTGGATTGATATGAAAGAAGAAAAAAAAAGTAATTATCAAAAACCCAATCTTGCCGGACACTTGATGAATGTGGATTAAATGAGACGATAGGCTACTTTTTAATAGATTGAGCTTTGGATTGAAGAAAAAGCATCATGCAATTAACCAACTCCTTTCCAATTAGAAAAAGACAATTACTAAATATCTTCTTCTTCTTCATGTGAACTCACTATTGATGGGCTTTTTAATCTTTGGTTTTTTTATTTTTTTTTTTGGACAAACCACGCAACCCCACATCGTCGTTGAAAGGGCACATATCTATCTATCTTGTAATTTATTCCTCCCCAAGAAATATATATATATATATATATGCTAATTTTTATTTTAATATAATTTTATTTGCTTGGAGATATAAACTGCCGGAATAAGTAACTGGTAATTGCCTTAAAAATTATGACTACTTTACTTACTAGTGATGAAAAAATAAATAAATATTATTACTCTTAGTTGTTGTGAATGAAATAAATGGGCTAACTATACATTATTACTTTACTTAGTCCCCACCCAATATAGTTGTTGGTAATTGCATTAATTTTTTTAGTATTATACATTTTTTTTTTTTTTGACTTAACATTGTTTTAAAACAAATTCATTGTTTTTATTCTATTTCAGATTAGGTTGGTGACAATTGGTGGTTTTGAAGAGATTACAAAGAATGGTTTTAGATTCTGGCTAGTGTTTTGAATACTTTTATTCCTCTTAATTAAGGCTGTTGTTGGAAACTCTTATGTTTGTTTGTTGGAATTTTGGAATTTTTTTTTTCTTTGTTTGGTGGAAGGATGTTGCTTTAATTTGATTGCTTTATGTTGGAACTTGGAAGAATGTTATTTTTGGTTAATGTTGGATGATTTTGCATGAATGTTCAGATTGATAAGGTTTTGTTACAAAAGTTCAGATTTCAGATTTATGTGGTCATGCTAATAATGTTATTTTTGGTTAATGTTAGATGATGTTGCATGAATGTTTGGATTTATAAGCTTCTATTATAGAATTTCAGATTTATGTGGTTTTGCTACAGCTACAAAACTTGTGTAGAATCAAAAAATTTGGAATTTTTAAGTTTAACCGGTTATGGGGCGGGGACGGTTATGAGAATTACAAGCAAAAACTTAAATGGTTATGGGGTACCAAAAATAAATAGGGGCGGGGATGGGGAATGGAAAACCCGCCCCAAACCGCCCCATTGCCATCCCTATCCATGATCCAATGACTCCCACCTTGAGTACCATACCCGATATTTAATATTCTCTTGAATACTTCTTTAAAAATAATAAATAAATAAATAAAAATAAAAAATAAAACGAAAATGAATAAAATTTTAAGACATTTTTTTCATAAATAAATTATGAGAGCACACCCGTTATAATTACAACATAAATTATTCCACAACTATTAGCTCCATTTACTTTCTGAACTTACATAAATCCCTTTATCCCACATTTTTACAAGCAACGTAGCTTTTAACCATGAGAAATTTTTGTATTTGTATTTACTAATCTGGACTGTCATGGATCAAATATTGGTGCATGATTAATCCGCTCTCACACTATTTATAGACCGAGGAGGCTACAAGTGGCGGTCTCAAATACTCACAAAAGCTTCAAAAATGTTCCAAAAGAAAATATATGATATCTATTGAATGATAAATAAATTTAGAGAATTCTTTGCAAGTCTACACAAAGGAAAAATGAAAAAAAGAAATTTGTAAACTAAATTTGATGTTTTGAGATAAGCCTTGGAATATGATATTTGCACCTGCTAACTCAAAAGCTTCTCAAGCAATAAGAACAGTTTCACCACTGGAAAGCTAAAGCTTGAGTCAACAACTTTGGCAAGTCTTTTTTCTAAGCATGGTGGCATCCTCTCAGGAGAAGTGTATGTGTGTACACTAAGGCTATTATAAAAATTGCTAAGATTTATAAAGTGATGCCTAGCTGTGTTTTTGTATGGTGGAGAGCAATAAATTAGGTAGTGTAAGTTATCAGTGGCTCTACTTGAGTTGGGGCAAATATTGACAATAATGTTATAAGAAATTTTTAACTAAAAAATTTTTGTGAAAAGAAAGAGTTTTTTTGAATTTTGATGCTTAAAATTTTTGTGAAATCCATTGAAGAAGAAAAAGACATGGGTGGTTTTCAATTTTGAAATTTTTTTTAGGCAAATAAGTTAGAAAATGAGGGGTCTTTTTAAATTTTGACTTTTTTTTTTTAAGGACTTTTGTGAATTTTTAAAAATTTTAGTGGGAGCAATTTCAAAATTATCAAAATTTATATATACAAATTATAACTAAATAAAAATTCAAAAGTTACACAACATAATCACTATTAATGACAGCACAGGGGGACGGAGCCAATGAAGGCCTAGGGGGTGCACGTGCCCCCCTGAATTGGCCAGCAACCTATAATATATGTGGTAATTTTTTAAAAAAATTCCATATATATGACAAAATTTATGTAGTACCCCCCTCAAATTTGTAATTCTTAAAATTATATTCTTATTTTTTTCTTTATTTTCTCTTTTACTCTTCACATTCTTAAATTTCCTTAATAGAAAAAGTCAACTTTTCTTCCTCAATTGAAACTTTTTAACTATTTCCTATTAAAGTTTTTTTCATTTTTATTTTCTTTTTATATTTTAATAATTTTCTTCTTCTTTGTCTTTTTAAATTATATAGTTGTTATATATATATATATATGTACTCTGTATTATTATTATTTTTTTTTGGCAGTGTGCCCTCCCTCACTTGAAATTCTGACTCCGTCACTGACTACACAGCCCAAAAAACAAATAAAAAAATAATCATCGTTTCCAAAGATGGCTTTGTGTTTAACCACCCTTACTTATCTAGACTCTGGGTTCAAGCTTCCGGGGTTTTGGGATTGGGCGTTGCCAGATAGAAGAATTTTTTTGAAATTTGGGTGGGAGTTGATAATTATTGTCTTGAAGGTTGGTGCATACAAAAGTATAATTAACATAACCAGCAGTATGCAACAACCAGAGGAAAAAAAAGGGGCCACGTCACCATCCGATTTTTTACAATATTTTATCTGGGCCGCCCAATTCTGAAAACCCAACAAAGAAGGCCCATAGATGCAGAAGGGTTTCGATTTTCGGCCGAATTTGAGAGATGGCCCATCTTCAGCCCGGCCCAAATCTTGCCATCTAGAAGGTTCATCTGTTTTAGTTCATCAATTGCAAATTATAAAAGGAGTCTTATGTGGAAGAATTGTAGAATGAAACTATCACGTACGGAAGATGGGTGGGGGGCACGTGATGCAAGTTTAACCCTAACTCTTTCACCGATATAAATAAGGGCATAAACCTTCAATAAAGAATATACATTAAAATTTCAATCTTTTGTTTGCATTATCGTTATTTTCTTTGAGTGTGTTGTTCTTATTTTTCGATTTTATATAACTGACGAATTTTTGCACCTACAATATATATATATATATATATATATATATTTACACCACGCCATTCAGCTCCCCTTACATTACATCCTTCCCCAGTAGTACAACTGTTTCTTTGCTAGTTATTTGTGCGTCAACCTATGGTATTATGTCACATTAGTAAAAATGTTTTATTACATGACAATATTTAATAAATTGGTGATACTATGTCATCACCACAACCGGTTCAATTTGGTTTTTCTTAGAGAAAAAAGATAATGACCAATTAGGGCTATGACTCACCATTGGGAATCAGATTTCTCTTAAATTTTACTTTGAATCCACAAGGTGGGTGTTTTGAATTCACAAAACAAAGGATAATTTCAGAAAAATCTGATATTTGTATTGATAATTGAATGAATAAATTTTTTCTTCACACTTAGCCGTACACATATTTATAATAAAAGAAAACCTAACTCTAGAAGAAAACTAAAACATAAAGAAGCCTAATAGCAAAAGGAAAACAAGTCTAAAAATAAGACTAAAAATAAAATTTCTCCAAAAAAATCCGAAAATATAGAATAAGAAACCTAATAAATAAAAAATATTAAATCTAAAATTTTAAAGCATTTGGACTTCGTTAAAGCCTCGAAACCAAAATCCCGAAATAATCGGCAGGCTTCCTATAACACAATAAAACGCGTTTTCAGCCGAAAACCAGCATGGCCCGCAAGCAAAAGCTAGTGGGCTTTTCTCAATGCGTCGTTTCCACCAAAAAAAAATACTATTAGTTAGTCGAAAACGGACTTGTTGAATTGCTTGTTGAACTGTGCAGAATTCTGTCCTACGTCATATATCCAAGTATAACAATAAATCATTCAACTTCAAAGTTAAATAACTAATAACGAGTGTAAAAATTACTCAAGTATAAGAATAAGAGCCATAGAGATTCATTCAAACATAACAGAGATTCATATTCAATTTGTAAGTCTGTCAAAGAACGACTAAACATAAGCAGTAACATCAACAAGAACAAACCCTCAAGTAGTTGGAGCACAATTCTGTTCAATACGGTTTTGCCTAGCCTCAACGTTGTCCAACCTTCGGTCAAGATGCACACAGGTATCCTGAATAGCTTCAAGTATGTCTGCCCTAATACACCTCATATAGCTCTTTGTGACGACATCACTATCATTTTCCTGTAAATCATTGCCCTTTGTGACGACATCACTATCATCTGCCTTTAAATCATGGTCACTGAATTAAACAATTTCAACTAGTTTAGAACCATCTAAAAAGGTTCCATTACCCAAAAACATTTAAAAAGTAACCTAAATTTCAGATTTTCAAAATCGATGGGGAGAGAGTGAGAGAGAGTAGCGATTAAGTAGGAGAGTCACCAACTTTTTTCTTAGTTGGTACTCATACGCACATGCCTTTACTGAGGTTCGAACCCCTGACCTCCCTTTGAGAAGTAGAGGCCTAGTGTCGCTAGGGCACTAGCATGTTGGTGGAGAGCCACCAACTTATCATATCAGATCTTGGTAATTTACAAACAGCTTCAATGAAATGAAGGCACATGTATAAGATAACAATACAGAGTATAAGTGAGACAACAAGACAAGATTGTATCTCAAAAGGAGAATTCCACTTAAATTCATTCAAATTTCAGCACCCTTGGCAAGGGAGACCAACTGTCCAAAACCAATCAAATTAATGAATTTTAATCTTAAGGGTTACAAGGATGCCCTTAATTTTGCACGCACATACAAATATCAAGTTAAAAAAACTCAAGAAATACAAAACAAATGAAGAAAAGAAACAATAACCTAAATTGGCTACTCTATCACACAAAAAGAGAACTCAGAATCAACCAACCATTAGTAAGAAGCATTAGTCAGAGACTAGAAATATAAAATAGAAACAACAAGAGACATACTAGAGCTTTTTTGGCTGGTAGTCATTTATTTTGAAATGCCTCCTCATTTAAGCAGCTTAATGCACAAAATGAGACATATGAGGTGAATTATTTAGTACATATAACTATTTTCACAATACGAGGTGAATGAGACATGATTAACCAGCTTAATGCAGAGAAAGTGGCCAACAAAATTACTTGAGCAATAAAATATATGAGGGTACATTATTCAGATCTCCCCCTAGTCTGGTTTAATTACCCTCATATTAAAGTTTTTGAAATATGCTAGTCAATCTTCCCTGACGTTTGGTTGCCTTAAGCACCCTTGCCGTTAGTTGATCGTTAGACCTGTTAAAGTCAATAAAAATAAAATTTTAAAATGCCAAAACTACCCTCGCGTGCAGCAGACTAACAAAAGTAACCTCACCAGACAAATAAAATGGCTGTCCCAAGTCATCAATAGTTTCACCAAACTACTCCTTACCGGCAACTCAAAAACAAGTTTGATATCCTCCTCTCATCGCTCTCTTCTTTGTACCAGAGGAACAAGGTTAAGAACTGAGTTTCTCTCTCTCTAAGCAACTGGGTTAGCCTCTCTCTCTAACCGAATGAAAGATTAGAATTATTTACAACAGAACCTATCAACTGGCAAACACGAAGAACTAAAATGCAAAGGCACCTTCTCTATATGCTGACACATCATCTCATATCAGTTTATTTTCTATTTGGTCACCAGAAAATATGAAAAAAGACAGACCCGCCATCTCTCTCTCTCATCTTATGAAATGTATACTCCTTTGTATCTCTCTGTACTCTCTGCTTTTAAAATATATTATTCAGGTTTTCCACACCCTCTTGTTCCACCACCGCCCTTCTCCCTCCACCACCACCACCACGACTTCCTCTTCTTTGGAAATGGCAAAGAGAAACATAACACTTTTAGGGTGATTGATTTTATAAGATATTGATGACATGGTGTTATTTGTGATCTTCTATCTTTTTATTGGAGATTTGAAGTTGAAGATCGCAACCATTTGCTTTTTCTTTTTTCTCTGGAGGTAAATAATTGGAATCAAACTGTTGTATGGGTTGCAACTGAAACTAATCTTTTCCCATATTGTTTGTGGAATCCTGCTTACTCCTACTGATTACAGTATATATATCTATATCTATATATAATATTTCTATATAAACAAAAAGATAAATTGGTATAGTCACCCCAAAAGTTGAGCATGACTAAAGCCATAAAAGAAGAGAACTCGATCAGCGATATTTTTTTTAAAAAAATGTAACTTCTTTACCTTTCGGTAACTAAGAGAGTGAGTCAAATGAATGAACTTCCTGCATACAAATCATATGAAACCTATCTACCATAAGTTATAATGGTAGTTCAGTGCATAAGGTGGCAGATTTGATTAGATCTGATTATAATTCTTAGGATTCAAATCAGGCACATTAAATCGGGAGAGGCTTCTTTTTTTACCCCGGATGGCCCTTTTTCTATTCGTAGTGCATATAATGGCATCTAGGATTTTGCAAAAGAATCCAAGCTCTCAACAAAAAAAAATAAATAAATAAATTATTGAAGTTTCAAGGGAAGACGACAAACCTCTTTTGGAACCATTGCAACAATTGATGCTTCCTGTAATTGAAACAAATTCAGATGTAAGATACTTATACCAAACGCTACAATTGTTCCAACACAACTCTTAGATATAGCCATATACAAATTATGAACAATATATTAGTATAAGTATTAATACAAGCTGTCAAGAAAGAAAAAAACATAATAATAGTAACAGACGAAAAACAGAAATTCCTAAACTTCACGTCTAGAACAAAAAATGCTATAAATCAAAGTTACAACAATATCATTGACTATTACCCAATAAAAAGAAGCAATATCATTGGCCATATAACATGCTATGTCACACGGACTCTTTAAAAGTAGTGAAGTACCTGTGTCGGACACATATTGTTTGGACATAGGGTCTGGGATATGTGTTCGACATTTTTGGCTGAACGTGTACTTAAAAAACATATCCAATAATTTAATTATATTGTACTATTACTTTTAAACTAGTTAAAAGCCTATATTGAACACTATATTAGATAAATAAATAAATAAATAAAAATAGTAATTTACCCTAGAAAGTAAAATAAAATGAATAATTAGCAATGTCTGTTTGTCCTCCTATTTACGGATATGATATGTCCCATACATGAATACATACCCATACCCAACACACGGCTTCATCCATTAACAACTTCAATCAAGGTAAAACAAAGAAAAACAGTGCTACTATAGAATTGCAACAACCACTCATATCATAATACAAAATTAGTTGAAAGAGAAACAAATAGAAACTCTACAGAACTCAAACCTAAATCAACCAAACTTTTTTTAAAAAATAATAATAATTACTTTAGCATAGAGAGCAATGACTAGTCAATTGAAATCTGAAAAAAATGTGAAACATACGCAAAACCAATTAGAGCACCGGCACCGGTAAGCCCAACACTAGCCACCGCCTGATAGATAACTGAGGTAGGAAAACAAAATTATTCAAACATTAATACTGAAAATTGGTACACAATTAATTACAACAGGGAATGTAAGGTGGACAGAGGATTACTAATTTGAGCAGCAAGTGGCAATTTAGAAACCCCTTTACACATTTTGAAGATGGCCTTCTGAGATAAAAATAAATAAAATAAGAAGATAAAAAATAAAAAATTGCTAAAACAAAAGCTAAAAATAAATAAAATAAGAAAATAAAAAATAAAAATTTGCTAAAACAAAAGCAGGGGTAGTATTTTATTAAATCAAAATAGATTATAAATCAACCATTGATTCTTGAACAATGTCGTTCTCTTTGCAAGGCATGCTTAAAAGAAGTGACAAATTCTGACAACCAATTCTTATGATTTGCTCCTCCCCAAAACCCTAGCACTGTACAAATTACAAAATAGCTTAAAATTCTCCACTGTAAATAGTTTAATAAATTTCAATATAAATAGAAGGATAAGAAGAAGGTGTCGTACCAGTCAAGAAACCCTCCCGACTCTGCTTCTCTTCGTCCCTTTTGTTTTCTCGATAATAAAATTCTTACTGTACTCTGATTTTATAAGTGGAATAAGAAGGGGATTGAGGATTGGAGCTTTGTTTTGCTCCCCGCACCCACATAAGCCCAAATTCCCGACCTCCACAAAAGCCCATACCACCCCAAAATTTTTTAGTATTATCCTTACTTATTAGTCTGACAAAAAGTGTCTCTCTTTGGAAAAACGCAAGGCTTACTTAAAAATACAAAACGTTAAAAAGATAGTTTTTTTTAAACATTTCTTTTTATACTTGAGTTTTTAGACAAAACAGAATCAAATAGAGTTTTTGTATCATTTTTTAATTTTCAGTTTTTTGAAAACAAAAAATACTTTTCTGAGTGACAAACCAAATCGTCTGTATTTTCTAAAAACAGTTTCATATTTTTTAAAAACAATTTTGTATTTTTTGATAATTGTTTTTAGAGTTACAAATCAAGTAGGCCCTAACTTTTTAAGAGTATAGTTTTAAAATATATATATATATATATATATATATATATATATTTTATTATAGCGGTTTGGATTGAATTTTCAAATATATATAATCTTCTATGGTGGGTCCACAATACACATGAGGTCTTATTTCAAACTTTAATTGTTTATATTACTTCAAGGCAATGAGGGTAAATTATAAATATTAAAAGAATGGTACATTGGACTTTTAATTGAATCAATTATTTTGGGACAACAGAAATGGAAAGGTGAACACTTTTTGTGAGATGGAGGGAGTACTTTTTTGTGAGAAATATTTTATTTTTTCACATATTGAATTGTTAAATATAAATAGTTGTTTAAAAAATGTGTTACCGCCTAAGTTACACAATCTTCCTTAACGTCTGTCGCTCTCATGTTTCAAGTGCACTTCAGCTCTCACGGTTCACGCATGTTATTGCTCCCATTCTCATTCTGTATTACTTATATTTTGCCGTTTTCACACTCCGGTTTTATGTCACTTAGGTTGTAGCATTAATGTCCCACTTATCATAGACGGGAGTGGGCTTCATGAAATTGTACTAGAATTCACGGGTTCTTACACTAGTTCTATGCATATGCACGGTCAATTTGAGTTGGCTCTGGTTGGTGTTGGACCTGTTGAGATTTTATTTTTTATAATCCGAGATTATACAGATTGTACAGTTGTAGGATTGCATTATTTTCTCCTTAATTTAGGGCTAATTGGTATGTAATTAGTTTCCCGATTATTGTATATTTAGTCACCTATTTTAGCTAGATATTACTCTATAAATTGAATGTAATACCATCATGAATAATATTGAATTTGGTTTTGATTCTCATATTCTTTCTCTTAATTTCAAGATGGTATCAGAGCCTACCCAAAAATAAAAGAGGCTTTGAATCTCTTTGAACCGTACCTCTGAAATTAAGTCAGACCGAAACCCTCGAAAAAATATATATATATATATTTTCTTCCACTTTATTCCTTCACAAATCGCACTAGTACAACAGATCTGCCAGCCTCGCCGCAGCACAAGAATCGTCACCAACGATTGCTTTGCAACCAGCCACCACTCCTCATGCTGTTAGTCTTTATTGTTGTTGCTGTCGCGGCAATCGCCAGATCTACCATTGTACCTGCCGTCGCTTGATCTCTGCCGTCGTGGCAGTCATCAGATCTTCTTTTACTCTCGCTGCGAGCTCCCGCCAAGCATCGCCGCCGGCCACCTCCATTATATTAAAAAAAAAAAAAAAAAGGTTGTCGCTGTCTTCATCACTAAGTCAAAGTTGTCGCCGTCGTCATCACCTAGAAAACAAACTGGACTTGCCAACACTTGAATCTCCGATCAGAATCACTAAGTCACACTGATGGTGACTTTTCATTATTAATATGCTTTAATAGCATATTCCCTATTAATATGCTTTAATAGCATATTCATGTTTGTTATCGGCTAGTTTGTATTTGAAGCCAATTTTTTTTTATTTTTTAGTTTGGTATTTGTCTGATTTGGATAAAATAAATAAATAAATAAATAAAAACGAAAAAAAAAACGAAAAAAAAAATGAGTGAAAAGAATATTGAATCATCTGAGACGAAATCAGTACCTATTTTTGTTCAATTCGAAGGTGTTTTTAATGCAGGGATTAGTCTTACTGACTCAAATTATGTCTCTGAAGCTTCAGTCATGATGGCTCGAAACCGGTCTAAGCAAAACTGGCAGGACCATACTAAGCCCAATCAACCTAAAGCCACTAACGGTGCAGCCAAGTCTACCTACAAATGCACTCATTGCAACCAGATTGGTCACACCAAAAGTTGTTGTTTCAAACTTGTGGGATATCCGGAATAGTGGGATTATAACCGTTGGAAGAAGAATTCGACGAAGACCTCCACTGCAGCAGTTGTTCAGAAAGAGGATGATGGTACTGAAAAGGCCTTGGGGCTGGTAGTAATTACAAATAATGGTGGTAAGATTTTAAATATTTCTCCACCTGTTGCTAATAGTGCATGGATAATTGATTCTGGTGCCACAGATCATATGACATTTGATTCTAGACAGATCTCACATCTTCATTCATCCTCACAAAAATTTGTTTCTACTGCCAATGGTACTTCGGCCCCAGTTATTAGGGAAGGATCTTTGACACTCAATGATAATTTTTCATTAGATTCTGTATTAGTTGTTCTATCTTTAGATTATAATCTTTTGTCAGTTTCCCAACTAACCACAGCCTTATCTTATGTTGTAATTTTTTAGCCTGGTTTTTATGTGTTTAAGGACATAATCTGAAATCTGGCTATGGCATTGACGTCTGGGGCATGCTTCCTTTGGTAATCTGAAAAAATTATTTCCTTATTTGTTTGCAAAATTTGATGTTTCTAGTTTCCGCTGTGATGTTTGTGAACTAGCAAAGAGCCACCGGGCTTCGTTTCTATTATGTTTGACTAAAAGTTCACTTCTTTTTATGGTTATACATTCTGATGTTTGGGGTCCATCCAAAGTCCCTACTTTAGGTGGATCACGTTGGTTTGTTACTTTTATTGATGACTGTACCAAGATGACCTGATTGTGCTTGATGAAGTCCAAAGGTGAGGTGAACTTATTGTTTCAAAAGTTTCATAAGATGGTTGAAATTCAATACAATGCATATGTTCAGATTCTCCGTAGTGACAATGGTGGAGAATATCAAACTTTTGACCTTCAGCAGTATTTAAAAGCACATGGAACTATTCATCAAACCACTTGTTCTAATACACCCCAGCAGAACGGGGTTGCAGAGCGAAAAAATCGACACTTGTTGGAGGTTGTTCGTGCTTCATTGATAGAAGCTCATATGCTGTTATTGTGTTAGGGAGAAGCATTTACCTCTGCAGCATATCTAATCAATCGAGTACTTTCCAGCTCTATTGACTTCCGGACACCATTGTAGGCTCTCATTGACGCAGTTGTTGCCCCAACCGTCCCAAATCTACCTCCTCATGTATTTGGTTGTGTAGCATTTGTACACCTCCATAAGCATCAACGCAACAAGCTAACTCCTTGAGCATTACGATGTGTTTTTCTCGGATATGCTACTCATCAAAAGGGATATCGCTGTTATCACCCTCCAACTCAACGAATATTTATCACAATGGATGTTGTCTTCCATGAAGACTCGATGTATTTTTCCTCTGTGTCTAAACTTCAGGGGGAGTACCAGAAAGAAATTCAGGCTCTAGATTATGATTATCAAACTATAGATTATAATTATCACACTTTTGAGGATGGCGATTCTAGTGGTGATGACTCATAAGTTGGACCAGCCAATCAGGAATTAGGTGAATTGGATTCGAGTGGTACAAATTTGGATCAAAGTGTTGATGAACGCCCAGAAATGGAAAGTATGGTGCCAACCCCACCGTCGTCTGAGTTTGAGTCCCTCACAACTGATATATCAAACCAATCGCTTGCTGATGATGTTCCCGATGTAGTGCCTGAGCCACTCAGAAAACAATTACCACAGCGTCACACTAGAGGTATTCCTAAACCCACATACGAACCTAAACTTTCTAGTAAAGTTAAGTATCCCATGAGTCATTATGTGTCGAACTATCGTTTGTTAAAATTAAATTTATCATTTGTAAATCAATTATCTACTGTATCTATTCCTAACAGTGTGCAAGAAGCCTTAGTTGACCCTAGGTGGAAAGCAACTGTGAATGAGGAGATGAAATTCTTGCAGAAAAATGAAACTTGGGAACTCATTGATCCTCCACCAGGAAAGAAACCAATTGGATGTTGATGGATTTACACTGTGAAGTATAAAGTCGATGGCACAGTTGAACGCTTTAAAGCAATATTGGTGGCAAAAGGTTACACCCAAACCTATGGAATCGATTACATAGAGACATTCGCACCTGTAGCCAAAATCAACACCGTTCGTGTCTTGTTGTCTTTAGCTGCGAACTTGGATTGGCCATTGCAACAATTCGATGTCAAGAATGCCTTCTGCATGGTGAATTATCTGAAAAAGTCTACATGGATCTCCCACCCGGATGCATGATACCCGAAAAGTATAGTCAGAAAGTCTGCAGGTTAAAGAAATCATTATATGGGTTGAAACAATCTCCGAGAGCATGGTTTGGAAGATTCACAAAGTTAATGATAGCCTTTGGCTACCGTCAGAGTAATTCAGACCACACATTATTCCTGAAGAAACAACAGGGTAAGATCACTGCACTCATTGTATATGTAGATGACATGGTAGTTATAGGGAATGATCTTGAAAAAATGAAGGCTCTCAAGAAGTACTTGTCCAGAGAATTCAAAATGAAAGATCTAGGTCCTTTGAGATATTTTCTTGGAATCGAAGTATCTCGATCTAATAAAGGAAATTTTCTATCTCAAAGAAAATTTGCTTTAGATCTATTACAAGAGACTAGCATGACAACATGTCAACCAACTAAGACACTAGTGGAAGAAGGACTGAAGTTATGTGTTGAGTCTAACCAAGTACCTACTAATAAAGGAAGTTATCAAAGACTTATAGGGAGATTGATGTATTTAGCACATACGAGATCGGATCTGGCTTATGCATTGAGCATTGTTAGCCAGTTTATGCATGATCTGGGAGAGCAACATATGAATGCAGTTATACGCATTTGAGGTATCTG